GCAAAAGATACACAGATATAAAGAACACAGATATAAAGAAAGTGAGAGTGGGATGATTTGAGAGAACAGCATTGAAACATGTATGTTACCATATGTGAAATAGATCGCCAGTCCAGGTTTGATGCATGAGACAGGACGCTCAGGGCCGATGCAGTGGGATGACCCTGAGGGATGGGATGGGGAGGGAAGTGGGGGGGGGGGTTCCGGATGGGGGACACATGTACACCCACGGCTGATTCATGTCAATGTATGGCAAAAACCACCATAATATTGTAAAGTAATTAGCCTCCAATTAAAATAAACTAATTTAAAAATTTTTTTAAATAAAAAATTTTTTAAAAAAGAAGTTGTGGTTCATACACAATGAAATATTATTCAGCCATAAAAAGGAATGCATTTGAGTCAGTTCTGATGAGGTGGATTAACCTAGAACCTATTATACAGAATGAAGTGAGTCAGGAAGAGAAAGATAAATATCATATTCTAACGCACATATATGGAATCTAGAAAAATGGTACTGAAGAATTTATTTACAAGGCAGCAATGGCAGAACGGACATAGAGAATAGACTTATGGACATGGGGAGAGGGGAGGAGAGGGTGAGATGTATGGAAAAAGTAACATAGAAACTTACATTACCATATGGAAAATAGATAGCCAATGGGAATTTGCTGAATGGCTCAGGAAACTCAAACAGGGGCTCTGTATCAACCTAGAGGGGTGGAAGGGGGAGGGAGATGGGAGGGAGGTTCAAACGGGAGGGGATATATGTATACCTATGGCTGATTCATGTTGAGGTTTGACAGAAAACAAAATTCTGTAAAGAAATTATCCTTCAATTAAAAAAAATAAAAAGAAAAAAAAAACTTTACTTCAAATTAAGGGTATCTTTTTTTGGCCATATTATGCTGTGGCTTGCGGAATCTTAGTTCCCCAACCCTCACCCACTGCAGTGGAAGTGTGGAATTATAACCACTGACTCGCTAGGGAAGTCCCAGGGGAATCATTTTTAACCAGTGGCTTGCAAGGGTCAAAGGAAGAAAGGTGGTTTAAGGATTTGTGAATGATTTATAGAGTTAAAAATGCTTTGTAAATGAGCTATGTGTTTTATTATCAGGGGTGGAAGAATGTGGCACTTTCAAAACGCATTTTGAACTGGTAGCAAAATTGCTGTATGGAATTGGGTTTCCAGCAGGAAGAACAACAGATATTAATGGCGTCATCTCAGTTGTTCAATTACTTGCAGTAATTAGGGGAAGGGTCAGTTTAAATTAAATAAAGGATTGAATTACAGGATACTTTATTAAGTAAAAGATGTATTCCTCAAAAATCATTGTGGAATACTATGGATTTGGCTTAACAAATCTTTCCTACAACTGGCAATGGTCTTTGAACAGACCACCAGGAACTGGGCTTTCAAATTAGTGTAGCCCAAATGTGTGATATTTCAGTGTATTTAAAATTAAGGAAATTTATAAAACAGAATGCCAAAATTAATCCTTGAAATTACATTGGTCCTCTTTTGAAGAAGTTGTCTTTTCTGTGACATCCATGGAGTTAGAATAAACCAGATGCTCAATAGCCCTGAAAAGAAAATCACAACACTGAGGCCAACCCAAAACCTGGATACTTAGCTAAATAATCCAGTGCTTAGAAACACTAGAGGATGTATACATTTGGATCGTTTCTCTGGTCCTTTACTAGTTACCTCCAGTGTAATTAAAATCCCTTTAAAATTGAATTCCTAACATAATCAGAGGCACATTTCCAGGACTGTGAAGCTGCTTCAGGAGTGATTAGATGGAGGCTAAGTCAGGTGAGCATTGGGAATTCTGAGTAGAGGTGGGTGAAGCCCTGAAAATGAACAAGGACCGTCATATGTCACATTTCTCATCTTTTTTTTGCAACAGAGCTACATAAAAGGAAAGTGGAGGATGTTGAATGACCTCAGTTGCCATGTGTGTGTATATAAATGTACATGTTGCAACCTGATGTATATTCATGTCTGCAAATTACACTTGAAAGTAAACTAATGATGTCAACTTGTGCTGACAATAGGCAGTGGGAAATTTTGCAGAGGATTTAGAACTTTCCCTGCACTGAGTTTTATCTTGAAAGAATCTATGTACAAAGCACTTTCTTTCCATCTATTGTGTCTTATGAGCCTCCTTGCTTATGAGAGAAAAAGCAAGTCATTGGAATAGATTTTTTTTTCTTCCTTTCAGACCAAAAAACAGGTTTGGATTTTTTTTTTCTTCTTCAAATATTTTTTAAATATATCTTTTGAATCTATTCTCTCTGCTGGTGATATTTTTGTTCTTATAAAGACCACCCTTTTCTTTCCTCAGTTCCATCCCATTCCTTCATGTTCCATAGTATCACTGGGATATCAAATCTCAGCTCATAATTATTTGTCTCCCATTTAACCACAAGGTGTAAATTTGCTAACTGAAAAGGCGTGCTCTGACAGTTAATCTCCATGTGTGTCCAAAGGCTGAGCTGGTTGCCCTGGATAATTTCCCTGGGGGATTGTTCTGTAGAATGTGGGGCCATTTGTTGAGCTGTCTGATGTGGGAGATGAGAAAATGAAAGGACTGCCAGAGAGAAATGGGATCATGCGGTGCCTTTCAGAGCAGAAACAGAAATCAAAGGACAGTTTCATGTCCACTCCACTTCCCCAAGCATGTTCCGGGAACTAGGGAATCAGGGATATTTTCTTATTAGTGTTTTTAGAGAAGTCACCGAGACAGAGCCCCATATTAGGAGGTTATGGCAAATTTAGTCATGCCTGTAAGTTACACTCAGAAATTGTTGTCTACTCACTCAGTCGTGTCTCTTTTGTGACCCCATGGACTGTAGCCCACCAGGCTTCTCTGTCCGCAGGATTTCCCACACAAGAATATTGGAGTGGGTTGCTGTTTCCTTCTCCAGAGGAACCCTCCCAACCCAGGAATCTAACCTGTGTCTCCTGCATTGGCAGACAGGCTCTTTACCTCTAAGCCACTAGGGATATGTACTCAGAAATTACCTGCAACCTAAACACTTCTGTCTGTGCCTGAAACTTACAGGTTCTTCAAGGGTCTGCAAAACTGTCTGGAACCAAAAGAAAAAAACATATGTTGATATCAACTCTAAAATCCAAAAATTATCTATGAGATTATTGAATATTTAATTGAATGTCAACAAAATGTGTAATATCAACTTTATTAAGTATTCTGTTAGTCTTCTTAAAACTTACATGTGAAACCAAATCATAGGTTCAGTTTTGTCACTTTTCAAGATTTCCAGCATGCCTATCATAAATTCAATGAATTGCCCATAGCCAGTAATTTGAAATGCAAAATTATAATTATCTTTCCCATTTTTTTACAGAAAAAAAATTGTATATTTTAGGTGGAGTGTGGGGGCATCTGAATGTTCTTTCTGTGACATGTTTGGTAAGGCTAAAAAAAGAGAACCCAGGGCCCATGAAGCTATTAAAGTAGTTCTGCCTGCATCTTCTCTTCTTGCTGTGTGTGATTAGTCCTGAAGACAGGTCAGCAAAGACATTAATGGGAGGACCAGAGGCAAGATGGGGGAAAGGTTCCAATTTCTTCTTGCTCTTTGAACCCACAGTCGAGGGGAAGTGACAGAGACAGTGGTCTGATCATGAGGACGTTCCCAGGGTACCTGCATACTCTTGGAAAGATTGTAGGACTCTGCCTGGTTCTGTTGAAAAAGGAGTTTTCATTTCATAGAGGAAGCTAAGCCATCCAGTTGGGACCTAGAGGAAGAGTGCCAGAGTCCCCTTGTCTGAGTTACGTTCTCCCCAACAGATGACCAGGCTTCCCAGGTGGCTCAGTGGTAAAGAATCTATCTGCCAATGCAGGAGACACGGGTTCAATCCCTAGGTTGGGAAGATCCCCTGGAGGAGGAAACGGCAACCCACTCCAGTATTCTTGCCAGGAGAATCCCATGGACAGAAGAGCCTAGCGGGCTACAGTCTGTGGGGCTGCAAAAGAGTTGGACATAACTGAGTGGCTAAGCACGCAGTGGATGGATGGCCTTCCTGGGCCCTTGTGTTTCAGTCAACTTTTCTCAAAGCGACAGATATTTCCTTTTTTAGAATGAAAAACTTGAAGGGGTGGGGCAGGAAAGAAGGTGGGTCATCTGGACTCCCCGTGTGATGATCTTCATCTTCACTTCAGTGGCCTCATGTCTTCAGGCTTTATTTGATGTACCACACTCGGGGTGGTGAATATTGACTCCCTCTGAAGGACATGGAATATGACACAGCCTTGTAATCTCAGCCCTTGATACTAACCACTAATGAGAATAACCACTAATGATTCTTGCAGAACTTTTCTCTTTATATGTGCTAAAGTATTATTAATTTATTTTCTTTTATAAAATGAGATAGTAAATAAGGGTTTTAATTTTTTCACTGAATGATATATCTTAGATATTCTTCCATGTCATCAGATGTGTACTTACTTCATTCATTGTAGTGACCACATAACATTCTGCTGGATGACCAGACCACAACTAATTTAACTACTGTCACTGGGCATTTGGGTTGGCCATTCAACTTTGATCTTTCAAGTGAAAGTACCATATTCCTAAATAACCACATGGCACCAGTGATAAAGAACTCACCTACCAGTGCTGGAGATGTCAGAGACACGGGTTTGATCCCCGGGTCAGGCAGATCCCCTGGAGAAGGGCATGGCAGCCCACTCCTGTATTCTTGCCTGGAGAATCCTGTGGACAGAGGAGCCTGGCAGGTCGCAGAATCCCTATGGACAGAGGAGGCCATAGGGTTGCAAAGAGTTGGACGCTACTGAAGCCACTTAGCACGTAGCATACACTCTTAATTCCCTGTGTTGGCATAGCCCTTCCCAGGAGCAGAAAGAACCAAATCTTGCCTTATACTGATGTGTGTGTTTACGTGTAAAACCTATATGTGACCTGTTGTTTATTTATTTCTTTGTCTTTTGTTTCTGCCTTTTCCTCTTGCGCAGTCCTCTACAACCAGGGACAAGGATGAACAGACTCTACCGGTAGGAAGCAGTTGCCTTGTCCAGACCTATTCCTATGCCTGTGGACAGGGTGGGGAGGGGTGGGTGGAAGGAGAGCTCTTGTGCTCAAGTCATCCTCTCCCTTGGAATCCTTAGAGGGTTTAATCTGCGGGTATACGAATGTTCTGTCCTGGTATTAGTGTCAACTGAATTCTTACCTTCAGTGACAAATGATTTCTGGGACTAGGTTTCAAAAGGATTTGAGTTCCCTCTTTCACTTGGCATGAAAAAGTTGAAAGAGTGAGGTATTTTCAAATTCCATTCCAAGGGATGTTGAGCTGCTGTTTGGGGACAGTGAGGGATCTAATGCTTGTTATCTATTTCTTTATGTATTTGCATGCACCTGGTTTTTTTGGTTGGAAATTTCTTTTGTTTCCATCAAAAGAAATGCTGCATGAAGTCTATACATTCAATATATACACAATGCCTCGAAGAATGCTTTAAGTTCCATAGATATAATCATAGGATAAGGAACATTTCCATAGAAGAGTTCCTTTGGTTTCCCCAAATAAGGGAACATAGTAACAGTGATTATGACATATTATTAACAGCAAACACATTTTCCAGTCCCTATCCAATTAACACATCACATTTTGTATTGTGAAGCTTGGCAGGGAAATGACCTTCAGAGTTTTTATGTTCAGTCATCAGTGATTACATTTCAACAATATTCAAATCTTTTAACCTTGCCCCTAACATTTTCTAAGCCTTAATCTTCTGAATCAAATAACACAGCACATTTTTTTTAAGTTCCAGATTTTTGAGTCTGAGAGGACTAGTAATGAAGATACATATGACCCCATTCTCCCTCCTGCGATGCTCAGAGTAGAGACTTCTGACATGGATTGGGAGTCCATAGGATATACCAGATCCAGTACTGGGCTAGGGGTACAGACCCAGGCTCTTCCTTTGTGAACCATGATCTGGTTCTGAGATATCAGTCATCCCCTTGGATTCTTCCCCAAACACTGTAGAATTGGAAATATTATTTCTAATAGAATATCAGTTATAATAAAATCACCCTAAAAAATTCAGGTTTCTCTATGTATCTTATAATCACATTTTACCAATACCAAAGCTTACTCTGGGTTTCATGTTTGCCTCCAAACACATGGATCATTGTTAGTAAGTGTTCTAAAATAAGGGATGAAAGAGCAATACTCGGAAACACTGTCCAAGTTAGCCAAGTTAATCATACTTCTTTAGTGTTAGACTTAGTATATCTTAGTGTCTAATACATATCCTAAAACTCTAAAGGTGAGTTAGCCTAGGATGTAGCACTTTACAAATTTATTTGATCACATTTGGTCAAGAAAAGTCTTGTGGGACTTTTCTCAGGAAACCTCCTTGTAGATGTGTAGTGTGATGAAGCATTTTGCAAAAGCCCCATAAACTAAAGGCCCCTTTGGAGTCAGGAAGGTTCTCTGTGGAAACATAAGAGGAGGATCTCTCTCTTCAGATCTCACTTAACACAGGCTGTAGGCTTCATGGCTGAGAGCCATGGTTCCCACGTGGAATGAGGTACCCTGAAATGCATGCCTGGTGTTCCTTTGTGGAGCAAGGGGGAAATATCAGCACCTCTGTTGTTCACTTCCTGTATTAGTCTTCATAATTTCTACTCTTGTAAATGTTTTATGGTATATATGCCCTTATTTTAGTATGTGTCTGGATATAGATAGAGATACATATGCATATAAATAGATACACATATACACACTCAAAAATTTTACTGATAGGGTATGCAATCCAAACATTTTAGCGACTCCCCACTGGTTCAGAAAACAGATGTTAAGTGAAACAGACCTGCAGCCCATTCTTGTAGCCTCCATTTTTTGTCTTTATGACCCAAACACCTCATTTTGCTTCTTTTAAGACTAAACTTCTTCATCTGTCTAAAGGAAACAATAAGAGTGCCTAGTTCATCAAGTTCAGTTTGAGAATGAGATCAGCCAATGGAGGCGAAGGATATAGCACATTGACCAGCATATACTAAGTTCTCAAGAAACGATAGCAGTTAATCCCTTTAGTTGGAAAGGATGTGAGAATGCCATTCCTTCCGGAAACTTTGAAGGAATGTACGTCAAACATCTTTGGTTCGATTGTGTGTGATGCTATGACAGACGAGGTGAGGAGCTTGCCTTGCGTTTCTGAGCACTCACGGCATCTTTGTCTGGTTCCTCTGCTCAGGTGAAGCCGCGTCTCCAGCGGGGCGGAAGTTCCGCCTCCCTCCACAACAGTCTCATGAGGAACAGCATCTTTCAGCTCATGATACACACCCTTGACCCACTGGCTGAAGGTAAGCATCAGGCTTTGGTCTTGGGCCTTGTTTGGGGCAGAGGGAAAGGCTGTGAACAGGCCCCTGTTCATAAAAGATGTTTGTGCTTCCGTCACACACCCGCTAATGTCCTCGTGTGTCACCTCTGCCAGAGGCAGCCCCAGCCCTTCCGGGTGCTCTTTCTACCACCGCCCAGTTCACCATCAGAGATTCTTGTACCAGGAACAGGAGCGGAGGTCCGTTTGCTGATTCTGTCTTTTGATGCCTCCAGCATAAATACAGTTTGTTACCAGGCAGAGCAGACAAAAGAGCTTTTTCTCTCCCTTCCAGCTGGAATGACAGTTCTCTTTCATCATCCTCCTCAGTTTCAAAATGAAGTTGTATATCAGGATAAGTTGATAAATTGTGTATCTTTAAAAAAGAGAGAGAGACAAGAACTCCATGACTTAGCAAGGCTGGAATTAGTTTGGGGAATGATGTTCACTTCAGAACACTAATGTTGTACCTAGTCTTTGGCAATTGGAAGATGAGGGGGTAAGCTTCTAAACACCTAAAGAGCACTCTCTAAGATAACTGCTTAGGATCAGGTTGAAGAACCACCCTGGTTCACCTCCTGGAGTCATCATATAAACCATCACTGAGAGTCTAGTATTGTGTTCTTCCAGTTATACTCACAAGGAAGCCAGATACCTGGTGCTTTTTTAATTGCATAAGTATGCTTTTAAAAAAATAATTTTTCAAGGAAGTAGGTATCTGATGCTTCAGATAAATATCGGAGTTAGGCCACTAGCAAAGGGCTCGAATATTGCCAAGTCTTCAGTTCTACCTTCATCTCTGGACCTTACAATTAAGCCTGATGTTACACAGGGGGGAATAACCTGGAAACAGGTCTCTGCCAGTGAATGAACACATGGGATGAGATTAATAAATCATATCACACAAATCAGAGCTCTTTACCAATGTAAAGCTTTGCTAAGTAATTTCAAGAGTCCAGATGAAATCAAGAAAACCCTGGGATGTCGAGAGAGTCTCCCCAGGTCCTGTCTCCCCTCACTGGACCTTCACTCAGAATAATAAGTGAGGATCACAGGCTCACTCTCACTGTGGAGCACTGCAGTCATAACACATTTCCACCTTGTGGCCCAGAGAGTTGCATAGCTGATGTGATGTTTTCCAGGGAGCCTTCCTTCATCTCTCCTGGGTTCTGTTTACTCAGGGGCAGTCGTTTGCCAGGAACATCCTAAATATCATTACCCTCTTTACCAGAGGCCCATGTGACAAGGAAATTAGCCCTGGTCACTGGCCTTCTTTCCCCTCCACTGCTCAGGGTCACCCCCAGAGAAATGATCTCAGTGAGTGAGGGGATCCCAGGGCAACCTCCTGCCGGCCACGAAGCAGCTGTGTGACTTTGGGCAACTTAGAGCCTCTCTCGTATCTCATTCCTTCATCTCCAGTAATAGTTACCTCAGTCTGGTAATTTTATAATTGGCAAAGTATTTTCACACCTGTGAATCTATGCTTTCTAATAACTCTTCACAGCTAACATTAATATTTTAATTTCATAAAGTAGGGTACCACCAAAATAGATCTCAAGGGTATCTCCTTCTCTCGCTGAGAGCTCTTCATTCCAACCATCTTTACAGCTTTCTAGCTGATCTTCCACTCTCTCCATTGCCTCCTTCCTTGCATATTTTCCACCTTGCAGCCCAAGTAATCTTAAAAAGTAAATCAAATCGTGTCACTCCTACTAACCTGCAGCGGCTTCCCATGGCTCATAGGAAAATGGTGAAATACTTGCCATGGTCTACACCATCTGTCTCATTCTTCAAACTCACTTTGACTTAATTTTGTGTTAGCTAGACAGATGCCTTCTGTCCTAAAATAGATACGTCTTTCCTGCCTCAGAGTCTTTGCTTAGACTGTTCCCTCCACCCAAAATACTTTTCCTTCTCCCATTTTCTTCCACTTTCCCCTGCTTTATTTTTGCTCAATCTTCAGTACTTTGTGTAAATGACACCTCCTGACCATCCAGTATAAATGAGGGCACCAGTTGTCATCTCTCATGGCATCCTTTAATTTTTCTTTGTTGCCCACTTTACAAGTTGTATGATTATTTGTTTACTACATGTCTCCCCCAGGACACAGTAAATTTCTGTAAAACAGGGATTCTATTTACTTACCAGTTGTCCCCAAGGTCTAACAGGCTACCTGGTACATAGTAGCTGCTATGGCTTAGAATGATTAAGCCACCTGGCCATAGTCATGCCCTGATAGTCACACAGTTTCAAAGCTTTCTAAAGCCCCATGGGTTTAAGGTTGTTTCTTGATTATTTTGAGCTATCATCTTCCCCACCATTACCCAGAAGAGCAGGTGCGAGAAGAAATGAACTATCTTACCTGCCCCAACTCAATTATGAACAAGAGACTGAGTATACTTATTTCTGTCAAGACATGTTATATAGGAATGGGGACAGACTCCAGGGCCAGACTCTCTGGCTCCAAATCCTAGTTCTGCATTTACCAGCTGTGTGACCTTGGATAAGTTACTTAACCTTTCTATACCTCAATTTCCTCATCTGTAAAAATCAGGATGATATATAATAATGTCTACATCATAAGGGTGTTATAAGGACTAAAGGAGTTCAATATACATTAAGCATTTAACACATGGCCTAGCAGATTGTAAGTACCATACAGGTTTGGAATTACTGTTTCATTACATTGAAAAATAATATAGCATATGAATATTTTAATTAATTTAAAAAATTCAAAAGGCTGTGGTGAGACTTTCTGGTGGCTCAGTGGAAAAGAATTCACCTGCTAAAGCAGAAGACACAGGTTCAATCCCTGGTTCAGAAAGATCCCACGTGCCATGGAGCAATTAAGCCTGTGCACCACAGCTACTGAGCCTGTGCCCTGGAACCTGTGCTCCACAAAAAGAGCCGCCACCACAACAGGAAGCCTGCTCACCACAGCTAGAGAAAAGCCCACACAGCAACGAAGACCCAGCACAGCCAAAAATAAATACGTAAAATTTGGGGGGGGAAAGACTATGATGGAAAATATAAGTCTTCCTCCTCCAACAAACTCCCAGTTTTCTCCAGTCCCCCAGTTCTTTCAGAGGCAATGACTGCTACCAATTTCTTGGGGTTCATTCCCGAGATGATGTGTATATATAACTGTGGTGTGGGTGTGTGTGTGACCTTGCCCATAGGTCTCCACAATCTAAATTTCTGTGGCTTTTGTCTGAGGGAGTTCAGTTTCTGATAGGGCTTGTTTTTGTCTTTCTATCTGGTGGGAAGGTTATACTTTGTTTCAGTGAGATAAGAGAGGGTGACTCTGGGTTGTCTCGGAGTCAGGCCATCCACGATTTTCTAAAACACCTGGCCCTTGTAGGGCTGCACTGCAATTAAAGTGTTTGTTCCTGCTGTAGCAAGATGCGCCATCTAAATCCAGGCACCTCCGTTCAAGGTGAAGCTCTCCCTCAAAGATGTGGAGTGCTCCAATGGCATGAATCTGGGAGAATGCAGAGAGCCATAATCAGTTCTGGATTTGAGTGATTAGAAAATATGGAAAGTACTTCAGTGCTTTCAAATTGCTCCACAGCACGTTGCCAAGAAAGCAGATTGCTCCAGTATTTTTCCCCCAAAAAATTCACAATCATTTTCCATTCCAAGAACATTCCAAGCTCTCAGAAATAGTCATCTCTCTTTATGTTTGCATCTAATCACTGGAACTCACACATCCTCGTGCCAAACTGTCACCTCTTAACAATACAGAGCATGCTGGTTACGTCACCAGGTTGACGGCATGAACACTGCAGCGGCGTCTCTGTTGCGCTGGTTGATGTTCCTGGCATCTGCCTTGCTGAGTCGTGCATTGGCACAGCATGGCAGACAGTCCTTTTTCATAAGGGATGTTTTCAACATCATCCGGGACGGATGACCTATGAAAAGACATTTCTCATCTGTGCCATTCAGGTATCAATCCAGTGATGGAGCCCTTGCTAAAAGCTTTAATTGGTGGTTGGTTCAGCCTCTGAGCCTGAGTCACAAGATCCAGGAGTATTTGTGTTTCTTATCTATTGATACATAACAAAGCACCCAAGACTAAGTGACTTAAAACCACCCCCACATCATTACTGCTCATAATTTCATGGCTCAGGAATTTGGGTGATTCAGGGATCAGCAAGGTGATTCTTCTGTCCCACGTGGTATCAGTTGGAGGTCAGTTGATGCTATTCAGCTAGGAGATGGGCAGGCTAAAGGCTCCAAAAGGGCCTTGCTGACATGTCTGCTATGTCTGCCACCTTTGAAGGCACAGCTGGGAGGCTGGGTTCAGCTGGGCCCCTGACTCCCCATGTTGTCACAGGGCTTTCCCACTTGCTTGGTCTTCTCATACAGTGGCTGAGAGCTCCATTAGCAAACCATCCAAGAGGCCCAGGCAATAGGAGCAGGGCTTCCCATGACCTAGCCTGGGAAGTCCCAGAATGTCACTTCTATTATAGTCTAACACTAGTCACACCATCCCGAAGGCCAGACCAGACTCAAGACATGGAGGAGGAGACTCCACCTCTGTATGGGAAGATACCAGAGAATTTGAACCACCTTTTGTCTAACCCAGTCTGTTTCAGGGACACACATCACTGAGTGGTTCATCCGTCCATGGCTCAGTGGCGTTTTCTGGGCAAACTATACAGTGTGGAGGGGACAAAGCCATAGGCAACCTGCTTTGGGTGAGAAGACAGTACAGTTGTCTTTTTTAAAATCAGAAAAACCTTAGTGTTCCCAGAAGTAGACTTCCACTTACATCACATGGGCTGGAACAGGGCTGTGTGACCACCCTGACCTACAAAGGAACCAGAAGTGAGCTGTCTGCCCCCTCAAACATGAAACTCCACAGTCAACCCCAGTGAAAGTCAAAGGGTTCCCTTTCTCCTTCTCATCCTTAGTAACCTTCATCCTGTCTTTCCAAGTTCCTGATTTACAAAGAGATACAATGTTCCCCTTCTTCCCCCCTTT